CTACTATCCTGTATCCAGTTAGTATCCTCGGCCCAATATTGTATTCAACGTATGCTGCTGACTTCCGTATCCATCCTGACACATCCATTCACAATTTTGCGAGTGATGGTATGGTGTGGTCAAAAGGATACTAGGAAGCGGGGTTTGCGCTCCCCAGGCACTGCAGCCTTTTGGCTTATTGAACCTTCCTAGTTCCTTAGTTCAATGCAATAGACTTAATCCTTCTCCTTAGAAGTATCAGGTCATTGACTGTCGCTGCTGCAATTTGATTCCCTAAGTTTTTTCCACATGTTAGGTTAAATCTCCATTGAGCTGTTGCTTTGCAGTCGAAGATGATACGGGTGGCTGTTTCCTCCTCCTCATTACATAACCTGCAATTGGGATCATCGTTGTATAAACCCAAGTTGTGTAGATGTTTTCTCAGATGCCAGTGACCGGTTAGTAGTCCTACCACCCCTCTGAGTTTGGCAGCAATGATTTTGCCAGTCTTAGTGAGGGATGTTTGCTCTGTCTAGCGCCGCTAGAGATCCACTTCTCCTTTTGTTTTGTTTGGATCCATTCTGCGATGAAGAATTCTATATTTGTCTTTGTTATCCCAAGTATAAGTTCAGGGCCTATGTATGGTCTTGCAGATCCTCCTCTGGCCATACTGTCAGCTTTCTCATTACCCAAAATATCCCTGTGCCCTGGCACAAGATATCATCAGGTTGTTGTATTTTCCCAGCTTTTGGAGATTTTGGATCCATTCACTGACTAATTTTGATGTTATTCTTTTACATGCTAATGCTTTAATGGCTGCCTGGCTATCGGATCTTATGAGGATTTTTTTGCCAGTGTAACCAAGTGTATTTGTGCAGGGTACATGCAAATGCAAGTTGGATTGTACGGAAATCGCTCATATGAAGCTTTTCGATTCTTTTTATAAGCTGAAACTCAATGATCAAGGAACATACCTCATGGGTTTAATGCACTTTCCTAAGTTTTTCCACATGTTAGGTTAAATCGCCATTGAGCTGTTGCTTCGCAGTCGAAGATGATACGGGTGGTTGTTTCCTCCTCCTCATTACATAACCTGCAATTGGGATCATCCTTGTATATACCCATGTTGTGTGGATGTTTTCTCAGATGCCAGTGACCGGTTAGTAGTCCTACCAATCCTCTGAGTTTGGCCCTCTCCAATTGCAGCAATGCTTTTGCCAGTCTGGGTGAGGGTTGTTTCATCATAAGTTTACTATGTTACCTACCGCTAGAGTATATCCACTTCTCCTTTGTTTTGTTTGGATCCATTCTGCGATAGAGGATTCTATATTTGTTTTTTTTATCCCAAGTATAGGCTCGGAGCCTATGTAAGTCTTGCAGATCCTTTTGACCAGACTATCTGCTTTCTCATTACCCAAAATTCCCCTGTGCCCTGGCACAGGATATTATCAGGTTGTTGTGTTTCCCCAGGTTTTGGATATTTTGGATGCATTCACTGACTAATTTTGGTGTTTTTCTTTTACATGCTAATGCTTTAATTGCTATCCTATTCTACAATAAAGATGCCGTCCTCTTAATCAAACTAGAATCTTGGCTAAAAAAGTGGTGTATAAAAATAATGTAGATCTTTACCCTCCCATGTGGAATAATGCCCACCATTATACCTACATCAATATCCCCCAGTTAATCACGTCCGCTACCTTGAGCTGTACATGGACAAAAGACTTGGAATCCCCAAAAGTCCCAAAAAATTAGGAACTGACTAGACCATACAAAACAATCTAACGATTCCTAACAAACGGTCCAAACTGACGCTTCACAACGAACGACAGATATAAGAGACAATAATTAAACCCATTTCCACATAGGGCACTGAACTGTGGGATTCAACCAAGCATTTTAATTATCAAAGCATCTAGATTTTCCAATCCAAAAATAGTAAACGCTTCCTTTTACGTAATCCATCCACAATCCATGATGACCTCAAAATTCCTTCAGACAAAGATACCATAAAATCCCGATACATAAAATTCCACAACTCCCTTTCACTATTTCATTACACCCCAATCCTTTAGTTTTAAACATGACATACCGAACTTTGCCAAAATTTCTGTAGGGCAGCGAGTAATAACATGTAGACCGTAGTAGAAATGTCACCACTCGGTGTTTCTTCACACCCTAGTGCCACTTCGTTTCAGATTTGGTCTTAGTTTGTCAATTTGTGCATGTTAACAATTTTACATATAGTATAAAAGTAAATAATGTCGTAAAAAATATATTTGCAAGAAAATCAGATGAAACCGTTCATCAGTGGTGCATAACAACGCCTAACATCACATATGAAAGTTATAACCATTCCTACACATCGATACCGTGATTAAAATTTGTTAATGTCCCTCCTTTCAATAAGATTTATTTATTCTTAGTTTTAGACATTTCGGATGTCAGCCTTTTTTAATTTTTTCATTATCTTCAATGGGATTAACATGCTCCACACAAACCACCGTTACTTTGAACAAAACAAAATGCCAACTAAAAATCGTATTATCTATTAGTTGTACTGATTAATATTCGTTTCTGCATTTAAAAATCTCCAGTAGTGAGTTTCAAACACTGACATTTCATGGCTTCCTTCATGAATTCCCAACCATTACTAGAAATTATTATTTGGAGATCGTGAGATACGGTCTGGTGTGACTTAGGTTTAGAAAAACATTTTCTTTACCGTGCCAACGTTTCGAACTTTATTGAGATCATCTTCAGTGCCTTCAGTTACCTGCGTTTCAACAAAAAGGTTCTCTGATTGATAGCCGATGCAAGTTCTCCAGAATACTCTTTGCTTGGTGTCCATATGCAGTTGAAATCTGTTCATAAAATCCCATGTTGTTCATTCTCCTCGTGTAGAAATATGTGGTGTTTAATGGCCGTTAGTTAATGTCCATCGCCAGCTATGGAAAGAAACTTGCATCGGCTATCAATCAGAGAACCTTTTTGTTGAAATTCAGGCACTGAAGATGATCTCAATAAAGTTGGAAACGTTGGGATGATAATGAAAATTGTTTTCTAAACCTACGTCACACCAAACCGCATCTCACGATCTGTAAATAATCATTAACTAACGATCACTAAACACCAAAGACCTTACTAGAAATTTCACAATAGAAATCAAGCTAATTTTAAATCAATCTAATTTTATTTATATTTCATAAAATACTCTCAGTTTTGTTTGATTTTTTGTGACTCGATTAAATTTTGACACCAAAACACGCAGAACTAAATGTTAGCAAACGACTAACTATAACATTGCTACTTCTTGATTTAAAAAGCTTAGCTTTTAATAGTTGAAAATCTTTTTTTTACGGGTTGTTCTGTCGGTTTTTACAAATCAGCGAGATTGGCGGATCAGTATTATCCGAAATGTCCGAAAATCCCTCATGTCTGATTATTGCAATGATCAATTTGACCTGAAAGTCTTTTATGGATTATTATGTTTAATTAATCGGAAAACACAAATTATCAGTAACAAAACAGTTCATACACCAAACAAACTAAAAGGCAGAGTTCTAATGCAAAAAAAGAGTTAATTGTATAAAAAAAACTTTGAACTCATGAATTACCGAAAGACAGTTTATTTGGCGACAGCGAAGGATTTATCAGGCAATTTAAACACTGTAATTCGGTCGTTCATCGTTGTCCGTCTACCCTCGCTTGTTCGGTCTATCAGAATTTTTCTGCACTCCGCCATTCACAATACACAAACGCTTGATTTCAAACTGCTAGCAAATAAAAAAACTTACTATAATAACTACGGTACTGAGTAACTAATGTTGGATTGTGGGTAATCAGAGAAACCACAGTTCTTAATTTTTAAATCTTCTAATCCCATTGGTTTATAATTTTAGTCATGGTCGTGACTGTGAAATAGATCAACAACATCATGCATGAAAAGTTCCCTGATTCAACCTCCTCACTCACATCTTGACCTAAGTTTTTACATTTTAACCCTCCTGTTATATCATAATTCTCATAAAAGTGATGCTTGAACTGAACGAACCTTTGCACTTTTCAACAATATATCGGTACAGCATCGAGTATAGATTAGAGTAGAAGTCATCGCTATCTTTCTCGAGCTGCATGCTGAAAAATAGGAAAGATCCCTCCGCTGAGAATGGCAGTGCAGGTACTCTGATGGATTTAGAACGAAAAAAGGTACACCAGTATCTTCTAAGCTGATGTCCCCGCGATAGAGAGATGTACTCAGTTCAATTTGAACCAAAGATACAAAAACAAGAACATAGCCATTATGTCAGTTAGCAAGGCAGGTATCAGGGCATTAAGTTCAAACATTATTACCTCAAAAAGTTGTTGAATTGCAAAACTAAATTAAATTATTTAGTTTTCCTAAATAAAGTTATTCTCTGCTGGTTCCTAGGTCACATAGATTTGGAAGGTAACGAAGAAGCGGATGCCCTTGTAAGGAACTCGCATCGGCTATAAATCAGAGAACTTTTTTGCTGAAATGCAGACAACACAAGGCCCTGAAGATGATCTCAATAAAGACCGAAACGTTGGCACGATAAAGAAAATGTTTTTCTGAAACCTACATCACACCAGACCGCATCTCATGATTTCTAAATATATATATAAACATTTCCAATAACTTAGCTGTACACCTGATCCACATACCTTACTCTGACACTAAGCTACCTGGGACTTTCATGGACAAGATGTTTTAGAAATGTAAATATACTTTAATAAAATTATATTATTATTACTCTATTTTTGCAAGTTTAATCACAGTCTAGATGTCATTTCTAATTTATTAAAAAGTTCGCATAGATTCAAATAGTTCCTTGGTCCACGTAGCCTCATTTCTCCTAATTGAAAGCTGTTACATCAGATTCGACAGGATCTCATATCGACCCGGCAAACAATGTAAACCCCGAGATCGTCTCGGGACAATTAATAACGTTCCATGACTGTCGTCTGGGACGGAATGCAAATCGGGCCAGGCATCCAGGCCTTCATAGACCGAAGGGGACAGCCAACTATTCGGGGGTGTGAGCGGATCATTACAGTTATTGTAACAGTCATAACTCAAGTTAACGCAATTAGCGAAGGGGTTGTTCTTAGGGCGGCCTAGGGGTGCGATTGGTGGGCCTGTGCCATTTGGTGGGGGTTGGTGGTCGATACGCACCACTGGTGTAGTCAGTCAGTCGAGGGAGCCCGCTCCGATGGCAACAGCTCGTCGTCCTTCCCCTGCCCCGATAGGTAATGCGAAAATTAACATATTTTTTTCAACCATAACATTAGAACATAACCCCTTATCATCAGCCTCACCATTATTATTTTTAACCAGCATACGAAATTTAAAAATTATACAAGTGCAATATTTCTTCTTGTGTCTTATGATGATCACATTTTTTAATAATGATTAAACATTGCTGACAATTTAAAGTTTTATTGTCATAATGATACTTCAGTCAATAAGTTCAATTCCTTGCGATCCCATTTGTTTCACTATATTACTGAATTTTTTTTTAAATTTATGATTCAAAAATAATTTTAAGTTAATAGTAAGAAATCAGAATAATATCCAAAAATATACTCGATAATCATAAAATTTCATCATACTTTTTATAGGACTAAAAACTTACTTACACCATTGAATTAATTCATGTAAACTAAGGATTTTTAAGCTTTTATATTTGATATTTACATATTGAAAAATAAATTTTATGTCAAAAAGGTAGGTAAAGTTAAGGTAACTATAAGAAATTAACATGGATTTTACATTTCAAGACACAAGAAGTTAGGTTTCAAATTGATAGAGTTTTGTTGTTATTTGCCAAGAAAAAAATATTTAAATAACACTTAAAACCTGTAACTTATAGAACTTTAAGTCACATTAATTTCATGAAGAACAGTTTATTGCAATAAATACTACATCCTTAGACTCAATAATAAATTTTAAAGTAAGTAATAATAAACAAAAAAAAGGCATTTTTTGGCGTAATTTTTAATTTTAGTATGACGTACCATCGGACCTGAGGGATTTTTAAAAGTATAATATTTTTGTTTTATCTGTGTTGCGATTATGTTAATCTATGGGATTTAATTTAATTAGATTGAAAGGAAGGGGTTGATTAACCCCGCCCCGAGGAATATCAAATACTCTGGGGGAGTGAATGTGACCAGATTTCTATGTTTATATAGTGTGATGATGTATAAATATGTATTGTATGTTTTCCGAATATTCAGTAGTTGATAACCTGAGGTGAAAAAAACAATCTAGCATTTTAGTATATCGACGTAGTGTAAATATATAAGTAGAGATCGAGATAAACCAGATCGAGCCGCTTAAATGGCTGCAGTTTAAAACCAAAAGAAAGGCGTGAAAGACCAAAATAAGAAGGAAAATACTCAGAGGGCCTCAGCTATTTGTCGGCCTATAACTTCAATATGAAATTACTGCATATTTATAGCGTGCGATTTTTAAGTCCAACACAATTTCCATACACTTTTTTAAAATCTTAGATATATCGATTATATCATGTAGTTCGTTCATTTCCGATCGGCCTGGTCCGCTTAAGCTCGCTGTTTTGGTCTGTCAGAAATGTTTTAGTCATCTTCACCGGCGGACTGATTTATTCTATTCTTGGCGCTTCCCCTCTTTTTGAATTTCCAATCGAACAAAGATTGTCTAACTTAAACAAAGGAAATGTTTAAGTTTCAAAAAGTAAATATTGTAAGGAATCAATAAACGAGAAACGAGAAAGAGAATAAAAAGGACGAGAAAACGATGGCGAGTCGCGAATTGTTGAAACGTTAGAAAATAAATATGTTTGAAATTGATAACTTGAAGCATTTTAGCTATCTTCACTGGTTGGAATACGTATGCAGCGAGCCTAAGCGGACCAAAACGATATGAAACGCTCAATCTACCGGTTGATCTACTCACAGACCTCAATAAGAAATCTCACGATACAAGACTGAATATTGTTCTACAAGATTTTTGTCATGTTTTAGTCATGTAAATATTATATCTTCTAACCATATTATACAACATTAATCGGTTGTTTATTTGTTTGTTTTTTATACAATTTATTAAGGTTTTACTTTCTTAGCATGCAATCTTGTGTCTTAAAAAAGTAGTAACATCCTGCAGATCATAAATGTTATATAATTTATAATAATGAATAATAAATTGATAAATAATGCCCATTAAATATCATAATTATCAAGATTTTAATGGTATTTGAGAGAACGGAATTAATGAAATCCACGCGGTAAAAACGTCACGTTTTTAGGTATTAATAAGTATATCAATTACTGTACACAATATCTACAGGTTGTTTCTGTTTAATCTCAGTTTAGTGGAGAGTTTCCAGTAGATCGGCCTTCGGATAAAATCGGAGTTCACGCATATCATTTGCACCGTAACAGGAGACAAAGGACACTGGTCCTAATTCCGACTTCCTTTCCCACCGTTTTGACATCTGCCAGACGTCTTTGTACAAAATATTAAAAAAAGTTCAAAAAATAACGAGGTTAATTCACCAAAACGAGCAAGTTTTGTTATGATATTTCGATGCATTATGGGCATCTGTCGACATATTGAAGATAGTTTTGTTAGTCCTACATAGTTCTTGGTAAAATCAATTGTACATTTTTTTCATAATGTGAGATTAATATAGACCCTGATGATGACCTTAAAATAGGTCGAAAGTTTGGCAGTAACAACAAGAATTTGAGAGAGTGTTCGTGAGTGAAAAAGTGGTCGATGTTACTAATGCTGATAACGTGAAATATGTTTTGTGGATTAGGGGTACTTAACTATTAAATTTATATTTGATAGAATAAAACTGTTAAATTGATCTTTACTCTATAATTAATCTTCATGTAAGGTATTGGTTGAAATAAAATGAGTCAGCGTCTTGAGCGGGATTCGAACCCAGGACCTTCGGCTCAATACGCCGCTACTCTACCACTTAAGCTATCTTCACTTCCACTCCAATTTTTCCTCCTTTTTGCTATTTTTCAGGCAGCGGCTATTTAGCCGAAGGTCGTGGGTTCAAATCCCGCGCGTGACACCAACTTTCTCATTTCAACCAATATCTTACATAAAGATTAATTATTTAAAACAAGTTTTTTGGTCAATCATACAAAAAAAATTAATATTCTTTTTCACTTTTTGTAAATGATGAAACGTAAATGAAAAACGTGAGTTACAACAAAAACTAAACATTATCCTAATAAGTACTGTAAAGAAATAATTTTAAATTAGTGATTAATTATTACGTCAAATTCACTAGTTTTCGTGGTCCGCTTGACAAATTAATATCTTTCAATTAATTAAGGTTTTTAGTTGAGATAAAATGTCAAATATTATGTAGGTACATGTTTAAATAGGAGGTAAATCAAAATTTATTATAATATGTATACATTCGTTTCCATGTTTCATTTTACATTTTTTTTATTTCAAATTTCGCAAAACAATCTAGTTTTCTCTTTGTTGAACTAGTGTAACACTGTTGTATTTAAATTTAAAATGAAATTGTGTTTGAAAATTTGTTCGATTTAGGCGAGTGTTATTTCATTTTCGTTTTAATTTCTCTGCCGCATTGTTTTGTATAGTTAATATCCCAATCATTACAATCAAGTTGGTAAGCCCCGTTTTTGAAAAGTTTGTTTTGAAAGGATGTTTCTAAGTGAACGCCTGTAAAAGATTCTCAAAAACACTACCTCCACTTATTTAAAATAAGCCAGTAAACAAAAACTTTTAAAACGTTATTATAAATTAAGACTTTCATACTCAAAAATCAGCAAATCAATTTGGTTCAAGTCCCAAGGCTTGTAATTAAAACTAGCCCCAAAATTCGTCCTTACTTAAGTAAAAAGAACTGTTCACTCTCTTACAACGTAAATGCCATAAAACCATATTAAATAATGAATTCCACAAATAATATAATCAAAGAGATGAAAAAACTTTTTTACCAATATCTTGTTCACATTAGGCTTGCCTATTATAGTCTCCAGTAATTAGAATTAATTTAATTATGATACGCGGTTAAAAATTAAATTTATCATTGATAAAAAAAATACCATGGATAAAAAATTAAAAACACGCATACGGTACACTTAAAGCTCATAAAGGCCAAACAACCAATTAAATTTTACTGAAGGGTTAACAACTTTTTCCTAAATAAAGAAGAAAAAATTAATTAAATAAAGGCTTAAATTTTGTCCCTAAAACAGAACTAGATACAAAAAAATTACACTCCCTCGGTTGATTGTAATAAAATAAATACAAATATAAAATATAAATGTGCTGAAGTAATTAATCAAAGTTGATGAATCCAAAAGTCAAAAAAATTAAATATCCCACTTACAATTCGATCTATTGATCAAAAGTAACGAAAACGCTATTTTAAAAGCCGATAAAAGAAATAGCACAGTTATAATTGCAGACTAAAAACTCGTTGCTAAAGTTGAAGGATGCCTAAACAATAACGAATATGAACGATAATAAAAAATGACCCCACCATAAAATTAACGAGAATTCATACAGGTATAAAAACAGAGTGACTTTCTATTCTCAAATGAACAAAATACAGTATAAAAACTTATACCAACGAAAAAACCCAATTATACAGGTCGATTTAAATTCACAAAGAATACAAACCTATAAGATCAGTTTAATTCTCCATGCCACAAATTCGCGGTAATAACAGATAAATTAATTAAAACCCACACCCATTTCAAACGTACTTTCGGTATTAACAGTTATTTACAAGTGTTAAAACAGTTAAAGAACAAAAATATACCTAACGAAAGTGTATTTATTGTCATTTGACGTTCATAAGTTATTTACAAATATCCCTGTTAAAGAATTTACCGAACTAATAAAAGACAAATTTACGGAGAACTCTATTAACGAACATACAATTAATTAAGGATTTTAGTTGAGATAAAAAAGTCAATGGCACGAGCGGGATTCGAACCCGCGATCTTCGGCTAGATACGCCGCTGCTCTACCACTTGAGTTATCGTGACCTCGATCCACTCGGACACTAACTTCCCATCCCAACGCTACCTTTTTAATTTTCCCTCCTTTTTGCCATTTTTCAAAACTAAAAACCTTAATTAATTGTAAGATATTACTTGGTCAAGCGGACCACAAAACTAGTGAATCTATTAACGAATTTATAAAAAATAATAGTCACCTCTTAAATATATTTCTATTATATAATTATTGTAAATTTAATAAT